TTGCAAAAGTAGGCTAAGTAATGCCGCAATTAGCAATATGTTTGATTTTACTTTAAAGAAATTCTTATTTTTTTATTTTTATTAATTATTATTTCGTAACTTGTGCGGTAACGTTTGTATAGCGACAGCGGGAAGGTCATTGACACTTAGTACTTTAGCTTTGCGTAAACATATGGTGTTGTAAAATACGAAACACAAAAATGAGTCCTGTGGCTAAACTACTGGATATATTTTGTTCATATTTTGCAAATCGCCTAGAAATTAAGGGCAGAATATGTGGCTTAAGTATTTGGGAAAGGAAATGAAACTCTCTGTATACACTGTGGCGGTATAGATATCACAAAAAATGAAATAACAGATAACACGGTTCAATATACGTCGGTTAAAATAAAAAAATAAAAAATTAGTACGAAAATACAGAAATGCAAATTTAGAACAAACTAAATACAATAAAATAATTTCCGAATTAGAACACCATTGATAACATGAGTCGGTGAACTGTACCTACACGGCAGCGTCGCAATGTCGGCGACATCAAAACGACGCCGCCGCCGCCGCCGCCGCCGCGAGCCGGCGAACTTTACATTCTTATTACCTACCTACCAATCACTTCACTTGCTTTTAAAAATCTATTTATAAAGAATGCGATTTTATTCACGTGTTTATTTCGTGAATGCTCGACTAGCTTCCGACCCAGCAGTACGCGTCACTCCTTGAAAAAGTAGTTACCTTGGTTGTCTCGTAATCTTTGTACCGCCCTTACAAAAATTCGGCAGTCTGTAGGACATACACGATTGACTCCATACGTGTCCGTAAAGCAAAAGATGCGTTTTGATAGAGTTTTCCATAAATTAACATCATAGCAGGATATTCCGCGGCTGTGAAGGTCACTCACGGCATTATGGATGTTGATATCGATAACCCAATAAAATTAAAAGACTGATAATGCACTCAGTTTCACACTACACTACACACAGAACCTAATAGTGACTTTTCAAAATAAAATTAGCAGGACTCCTTACATTACGAAGTCTTGCGCACACGATAACATTAATTGTTCACACCATTGCCGTGTATTATGACGAAAGCAATAAGACTAAACAATTATTACCACAAGAAAACTTCTCTAAACAAATATGTATCTCATAAACAACAACAATATTATTATTACGGTTATTTGTCGTGAGCGCATCTACAAGGATACGGAATAGCATAAGCTCGCCGGTGGCCAAGGGCCGACTGACTGTCCTTACTGGATGAACTAATTAAAAACGCGTGTTGCATCGTGATGACGTAATAATCAACATATTTCGTTCGATTCGGGTGTAGTAAAAGCGGCAACGTGTGATTACCGCGCCGCTGATCTATACCTACAGCTGATCGCCGCCTGAGGTCAATGTATTATGACTGCATGTACACATGATGTTGCAATTTACGAAACACAAAAATGAGTCCTGTGGCTAAACTACTGGATATATTTTGTTCATATTTTGCAAATCGCCTAGAAATTAAGGGTAGAATATGTGGCTTAAGTATTTGTGAAAGGAAATGAAACTCTCTGTATATATATATATATATGTATATTCGTAGTTCGAGTTGAGTTCAGTGAAACACCACAACAGGTTCTCACGTTTTTATTTATATGAAAACAATTTTACAATAATCTCTTTAAACAATAAATATAGGTTACAATAATGTCTCAATTTTACTGACTGACGGAATAAATATATCTTTTACACTTTTTATTTACAGAACTTTATGTACAATGGAGATTCACGTAAGGGCTAGCGGTTTTATGCTACAAATATAAAAACTTATTTAAAATTATCGAGTACAGAATTTTAATTTTGTACAATATTTACATAATTTATGGAAACTTACAGATGAACATTTAAAATTTGGAATAATTTTCGTAATCTGATTATCCGATATCAATATCAGCCGCCCTACTAGGTGTCTGCCCTGCAGCTCTGTACTGTCACGCTTTGAGCACCATGCCATCTGGCCGCAAGGGCACCAAGGTCCTGAGCTCACCAGGGTACTAAATAATCTCAAGTGGGCACAGTTCGCTAAACTATTTACATTTTTAATAAAATCTCACAGATTAAAAAAACAGACAATAGAGAAATTTTACATAGGTAAACATGAAGTATACAATAAAAAGTAGTAGTAACATGTGGGCAGTTCAAAAATACAATAATAGTTACACACGAACAAAATATTTTCTTAAATACGGTTGGCACCTGTGAACTTTAGGGAAGCATTTATTTATTTAGGCTACAGCCTCAACAGAGAAGTACAATTTCATTTTCATTGTAGGTACATACAAAGTAATACATCCTGTACTCAACAGTGAAAGCTGCGCATCCATTAGGCATGTTCATCCACCTCAGCGATCTAGGTCCGCTGCTCAATCACCACAAACTTGTACTCGAGCTGAACTTGTGGTACGATGGGATACTGAGGCCATCCGAGCACCGGTCTTCAATGCAGTGACATTCGTTCTGAGCAATTTATTTTACTTGCATTAATTTAACTATATTATATTTTATTAATAGTTGAATACACATAGACGGGACTAGAAAGGTTTTGATGAACTCGCAGCTCACACACAGTCGATGCAGGTACGTACATATCTATTTCTCTATATGTTTTATATAAATATACACTGTAATCTGTATTAACACAAGTTATAAGTACCTACGAGTATACAGAAATATGAGGACTACAATACTATTTTACATTTATTGTGCGTTACTTTGCTGTTGTAGCCTAAACGAATTACAAATAATGATAAGATGAGGTGACACAGCTGCGTCAACAGACGAATCGGTCCAATCGGAACATAATGTAGCCTACTAGATAGTCCTTAACTCTAGAGGAATGTGGAACGTGGTGACGGTAACTCGTGTCGCAGGTGATACGTATATATCTCTAGCTACACTACGTCGCTTTACCGAACTTTAAAAGGGCACTTACTAGGGGCTTACACACCTAACATGTTTCACACAACGACTCGGCCTAAAAACTAATATTCTTTGATAACTCCGCGTAAATAAGAACATTGCATGAAACGACGAGATACGTTTTGCGATGTACAAGAAGTGAAAGAGATTTGATAGAATTTAGTTTATTTTAGTTCATGAAGACGCATCAGTCGTCACAAAACTGCCCCACTAACTATAGGTATGTAAACCTAACTGGCATATGGCAAGGAGTCAAGACATGGAGTAGTAAATGCCTTTTCGCACACAATACACCCTTGTTGTTTTACTGTCTTTTATGAATAATGAAGGTATAGATCGGTACAGCTCAGAGAACTTTCTTTGAGTCAGATCACATTACATCTGTACAAATATAAAAAATTGACGATTGTCTAATATCGCACCGATTGTGTCGTAAATAACGTTGTCAAAACTGCACTATGAATCCACTCACAACTAAACTGGACACAATAACGCTGAGTACGTAGGTGACATAGTCGTACCTATGTACGCACAGCTGATCATCATGTACAGCTGATATAACCTTACGAGTTACGGCTGTGTTACTGATGACGTCTAATAAAGAATCATGTCTGTGAAGTAACTAAGGACAAACTATGTTCCCATACTAAGCTCATATGTCAGAATTTAGTGTCTAAAACAAAAGACTAAAACTAACAACTCGAGGTGGACGTGGATGGAAACATCGTATATAAACCGGCTGACTTATAAAATCTATTAAAACTTCAAAAGGTGCTTACTTGACTATAGTACACTTAGTGAAACGATGAATATCAGACTTTCACCTAAATAGTTGTATAGTTGCGAGGCCCCGAGCGGGCCCCGCTCACGAATGTACTCGTGTCTACTCTAAAAGTGGTCGAAGCTACTTACGCCGCTGGCCTTATCGAAACAACAGCCTCGCCTCATCTCCAGCGCGCGGTTGTTTCATAAGCCCAGCTTGTAAAGTTGAACTACTGAAAATTGGATGTCCCTTTACCGAGGGCTAGTACATATAATAATCAGTTCATTGAAGTCTTCCAAAACGGTATTGTCACGGATCTGGGGCTACTACAAAAGAAAATGTATACACAGTGGTCATACTTTAAATATTAATACTGACTTATTGCAATCAAAGCGATTACTTTAATTAATACACACGATCTTAAATAACTCATGTCAAAAGCTTCTTTGTTTAGTACAAACAGTATGTTAAAGAGGAAAAGTAGTTTTTACTTCAATACTTTTTAAGAAAATGCTTCTTCTACAGCTAGTTTTATTTCATTGAAGTTGTGCCTCTATGCACTTAAGCTTCTTCTGCACGAGCGTGTGACGCGCGCTCCTTCACGGAACATGCCTACATCATTATCACAATATTGAATCTGTGCGCGAACATGGGCGTGGGGTGTGGGCTATACACGTTTACCCAACAGACGCGAGACGTACCGAACGAGTACGGCTTATAGTCCCATTCAGAAATAAATTATTTGAAGTATATTTGTAGAGCGCTCGATACCGATAAATTACAATAAGTGTATAATGGCAGACAAAAAATCCCCGGGTCTGACATCACTAAATCGATTCTGATACTGGTGTTCTCAGCACTTCTGTCTAGACCATGTATAGTTTACCGACCCTATATTTATAATACATATATACTATACGACTACATCTCACTTTGTCTGTAGCAACTCAAGTGTAGACATGTGTGGTCGCGTACCTATCTACTCTAACTTCGCTCGGTCTGCTCCAAAATTAAGAAAAAAGTCATTAATTTGAGCATAAGTACTTAGACATGTTAAGTAATCGCATCACCCGGTACCAGCAGTCGAGGCAAGGTAATGAATGTAGTAGAACTTGTCAAGCTATGTAACGGAACCAATGATATAAGAACGTAGATGAGCTAAACGAGCACTGGCTTGCGTCTCCTCCTTCTCCTGTGGTGGGTGTGTGGCGGTGTGGGGGCTGAGGCGGCGGGCGCAGGGGCCGGCGCCGGCACAGCGGGAGCAGCTGGTGCTATAACCGTTTGAACACTGGTGGGGGCATCGTCGCTGGCTGGTGAAACGGGTGGTATTGGCGGGCTAGGATGTCGCCCTAGAACCCAAATGTTACACTATACATACGTTACTAAAAATGGTAGCAAGGTCGCAGCTGAAACTGATTAATGGCCTTCAAGCTGTCAGTGGCAAACAAAGATACTTACAACTTGAGCTTGTTGGCTTTGCGCTTGTTTTATGGTCTTTTCCTTTACCATTAGCTGGTGCGCGGCTCTGGAACATGGATTAAGTTAGATCAATACACGATGATGTAACAGATCCCCGAGGGATACTACTTACTAGCGGCACAACAGGGGTAACTACAGTTTAATAATAATAATAAACCCCTTTATTAAACACAATATAATGAAAAGAGAATTTAGAACCAGTATAATGCATCTAGCACAATTGGCGGTCTTATCGCACTCTGGCAACTTTTTACAGGCAACCATGGGCTGAAGCCGAACCTAGTTTGGGAAAAAAAAGCTCGGAGCAAGATAAAAGTTTATGTGTTTAAAACAATATTGAGTGCCAAACTGCATCTGCCGGCTTTAAGTTACAAAACAACAGAACTAACATTAATAATAACAATAACCTTATACATCTCACACTCGGGCGGCTGACCCCAAACTAGGCAGGGCCTGTGCTATGGTACTCAGATTGCTGATAAACATACTTATATATCTTTAAAAACATGCATAGATATGCATAGATAGATCGAGCTCGTCAAACAACTATTTGCCCTGGGTGGGTATTGAACCCACGACCTCAGGCTTTGCAATCACACAATCATCACATTAAATCAAGATAAACCGCTTTCAATTACTAATATAACAATAAACAAAACTAAGAAATTGTTGTTGTTATACTGACAACAGTATGTTTGTGTTGTGGTGTGTGAAACATTACAGTTATTCTATTTGCTCGTGCAAATTTTTTTATGTCGATTCTTTGATTGTCACCTTGCAATGTGCATAAATACGATTTGTAAAAGTAGGAGAGGATCACCTGTCCATTTGCTCCTGCGTCATCTCAAGTGCCTCTTGCATCTCGCGAGAAGTGTTCCTCACGAACTCGGGGTCACAGTACTCGCCCAGTCCCTGCTCCTGCAGCACCTGAAATATTAAACATTATTGTTTCACCGGCCATATAGTTTAAGCGAGAACTAAGATATTATAAATAACTAAAGAGTAAATGAATACAACTCACTCTCGTGACTAGACTCTCTGCAGAGCCCACGACAGGAACTGAAGAGTTGTTCCCCCGGGGACTGCCGGGTAGAGAAACTACGCCGCGACCGATGCTATCGTCTCCTGCAATATCGTCACAACTGAATCAAATATCGCATCAAATTAATCTCTGGAAACATTATTTGCTTTTAGCAATTTCAAGGATCATCACTGTATACGTAATGTTTTCATATTATTTTTTAACTGAAATTATTGTTCAAATAAACTTCTCTAAATGACTAATATTCTATGGTTTGTCTATTTTTCAGAAGCTCAAAAGCTAGTCTCTAATGATTCCTAAAGCAATGATTTAAATTACTCTCCATACAATAATGTAAATCACCAACGTCCTCGTGGATTTTCATGATTGTTGAAAACTTCGTGCAAACCATACAAAACCAAACAAAAACTTGTTCTGAATGATGTAAAAGCGCATTTCTATCATCACCGTTCCAAAATGCATCACTAAGTTAGCTCTGTACTGTTAGTCGCATGCCAGGCACGACGACGAGCTCGAGGCTCCGTCGCGCAATGTGTTGCTGTTCGATCAGCACTTAGCTCTTATGTTTACCTCAGTTATACAAATAATGTGCGGATAAATGTGTGTGTATTGTGAGATTGCAAAACATGAAAATTGCTGAAGCCAAGTGTGAGTGGTTTAGATGTTCAATCGATACCGTTGAGACGTAGTGGCGCTCTATTTTGGACCGTAACCCCTCCTCCACGGTTGTCGATAAGAATTCAATTATTTTCTACAACACTCGTACAAGTAGAGCTCGATATAAAAATAACTTTTAAGATATATTTATGGAGTACAACATATACTTTCTATGGCTATAACTTCTCTTAAAAAAAAAATATGTTTGTTAAAGACAACAATATTGTTGAAATTCACAAGTCTGTAGCATTTTACATAAGTTTTTAAAAAGGTGATGATGAAAAGATATTTAGTCACGTTGAGCAAATGTCCGATGATCCAATGGCTACATCTATCAGAATGTCCGTAAGCAAAGATACTAAAAGCTTTCTTTCCCTTCTCCGCGTTGTTCTAACGTGACAATTGCAGTTTTTGTTGCTGTCTGCAGAGCTCTTACTCACCAACTGCTACAACTGATCTTGTTATTGAACACCTAGGGGGGGCCTCTCAAATAAAGTGACGAGTGACATTGATCTACCTTATCTAAGGCTGATTTAGAACCTTCCTTTAGGTCTTGTTTTGTAATGTGTGACAAAGGATTTTTATTTTATACAATCAAACCCTATTTATTCTTGTAGAGTATCGTGTTGAACTTGTGCTGGACATTCGCGGTTACCATCCCACGTATTTTATGATTGTGTTATGTACAAATATATGGCTGATGGCCAGTTCTTAAACGAAATTTAAAATGAGTTTATAATTTAGTTGACACCAACGCGGTGATAAATAAAATTTGCAATAGCAAGGGATAGAAAGATATGATTAAAACATCCGAAATATAAATGCGCCAAAGTTGTCATTGGGAAATATTTGTAGGGTTACGAAATGTCATCATCATCGTATTTCCAGAAATTATTTTCAGAAAAGAAAGAATTAAAAATCGTGAGTGGTATCCGTATTTATTTAACGGTGTGTGTAACGGTGGCAGGCGTCACGCCGGGACTGTCCAATTCTTACAAAAGGCTCCTGTCTCGTCGGCTCCGAAAATAGTTGAGCAAATTAATCGATTACACAACAGTTAAATATTTAGTAATTATTATATAACGTACTGAAAACCATATTTAAAAAGGCACCGCCGCCGAGTGGCATTACGCGAAGTTTGTTCAGAAAAGTTTTGTTAAAGCACAAAGTTTTTCTTAATTATAAAGATTTATGGCTATATTTCAGTATATTTTCAAGCAATTAAGATGTGACCGTTCCTGCGGCTTCTAATAAAAAAACTTTGACATTTTTATTTTAGTTCTAAAACTGTTGTTAAAACTTTTAGGTCCGTCATCAATAGTATCAATATTTTTACGTGGTAAACAATTTTTCAGTACTTTTAAAATATGGAAAATAGTGCTTGTATGATCGATTAATCTATCGATGTTACTTCATCTAGGAAAATAAAGACGAAACATTATTAACACAAACAGAATCAATGAAATTGGCCTCTGGATTTTAATTCTAGATAATGTTGAAAGCGAGAATACTTTACGATATTTAAAAAAACGCTTTTTTAAATTTGTTTTAAAGCCAGACTAAGTTGTTTTTCAATTACAATATATCCTTTTTAACCGACTTCAAAATAAAGAAGAAGGTTCTAAATTTATCGCAGTAAATTTAACATTTGCTTTCGGTAAACACAATTTAGCGAAGTTGAGTCAAGGATAAAGACACTGGGACAACACAATAGTGAGTATTACACCATTCGATGCCTTCAATGCTGATGCTAAATTATTAACGCTAGTCACAATGTCTATAACGGATACCGCGTATAACAATCATACGTTTCTTTAAGCGATATTAAATAGTGTCGGACGATAAAGTGGGTGGCGGTGGGTGGCGAGCGGACCTGCGAAGTGCGCGCGAGCTACTAGGCGGGAGGGCGGCGCCGGCGCATGCTCAGCCGGCGCCCCCGATGAGGCGCTGCGCACCATCCGACCTGCGGCGGGTGGCGGGCGCGCCACGCGCAAACTGCGGCGCTCGGCGCGCGCCAGCTCCGCGCCGTGCGCGCCGTGCGAGAACGCGAACGGCAGCTTGGCGGCCGCGTTGTACCCGTACAGCGTCATCGTGCGCGACTCCGTGGTCGGAGTGCACGAGCTCGCCAGCAGCGGTGATATTTTCGGCTGTATCGTGACATCGAACGCGTTCGGTGACGGCGTCTTGTCCTCGGCGCTCGCTAGCCGCGGTATCGCCAGCTTCTCTCGCGAGGAGGTCGAGTCCTCCGGGTGTACCCTCTGCCTCGAGGCCGCGGCGGTGGGTCTGGGCGCGGCGATGTTCTCGCTCGGCGTGGATAGGTAGTTAACGCAGCCGAACGCCAGGCCGATCTGGCCGAGCATCTCGGGGTAGTTAGACTTCTGGTTGCTGTTAGTTACGTACCGTTATCCACACGGAAGCGGTGAAAATGGATGAGGAGGTTAGAAAAGTTATTGAAAGCGTTAAAAATGAGCGATGCGGAACGTAAGTTTGGAAGAAAATCAACTACAAAACCACACTGGACTACCTTCATAAATAGTGTTCTTTAGGTCATTTGTGGTTTTTCTGTAATACAAGCATTTTCTTACTTAAATTTTGATATTCAAGTATAGTGTATTTATTTCAATGAATAGAATTAATTATTTGTAACAAACAAGTAAAGACAACTTACTCGAGCACTTGATATATCTTTTCTGATTCTCCGTTAAATATGAGAGGCCTCAGTGGTATTTGTTCCTTAGGCTGTCCGTTTGCTCTGCAGACACAAATTTAAATGATGATATGTTTACTAGAATTGTGAAAGTCGCAATAGTTTAAACAGTTTATTTATTTAATACCTAACAAGAGACGTGGTCATTGAGAATATTGACTTTCTATTGTATATAGAACTGTTGTTTGTAATAAATAAGAGGGATGAACAAGAATAACGCAACACATGAAATGAAACGTCTTCCAGTTTGTTGATTATTCATCAATGTAGTGTTTCTTAAACCAATTCAACTTATATATGGTACTTACAAATTAGGTGTGAGAGGCAGTGGTCCTACTCCGTATTCCAATTGCATCATTGAACTTAAGTGATTGCCAACTCCGTCTGAAAATATATATGTTTATATGTGAACCATTACCAGTAGGTTATTTGATATTGTGAAGGATAATGTTATCACTATTATGTTATGAAAGTTTATTTGTTCCAATATAGAAATCTTTTAATATACTGTTCGCTGGGGCCTATTATTACTGTATTTGATTTTAGATCAGGCGTTGTGTATAATCAGTCCACGTCAGTCCGTGTGGTGAAGGATTAAAACAGAGTGTGACCACCTCTGTTCATCCCGTGGGTGTGGTAAGAGTCGACTAAGGGAGCAAAACAACGCAGGACAACAGCACTACAAAGGAAGGAAAACTTGAAACAAACCCTATACTAATCCGTCTGGCCAGAGTGGTAAAATAGGCCAAAACCTTATTTCTAAGGAGAGCCATATGTCTAGGAGTGGACTGTTATGCACTGTTAATCATGATCATGATGAAGGGCTAAGGAAGGAAAAAACGAACTTTTTAAGGGTCGCCGGAGATTTATGATAGCCGACCATGTGGCCATGTTCTATTGTTACGTATAAAGAGCACCTTTCACATTCACACTGTGTTTAGAACAATCTGCTGCAGCTAATAGTAATAGTAGTTATTACCTGCTAGTTGTTCGCCGTGTTTTCGATGTCTGTGGAAGTTTCTGTTAGGCCCGTGCCTTCGTATACTCGACCAGACTCCTCCAAATAACGAATGATTTCTCTGTATAGGTATGAAAAAATATTTGATGTTACTTTACTAAGAAATGATCCTTTGACACATTATTAAATATAGCCGGTACTCACCCTATGCATAGGCATATCGCATTCAGCGTTGATGTCGTCCAAGTTGCCCGATATCGCTCGCTTAAGTTCCGGCCCAGCCTCGTGCAGCGTTCGCAAGCCAGCTTGCAGCGTCATCTGGTGTGTTTGTTCGTCTGTTTGTCTCAACTCCTGTTCCTTTCTCTTTTTGAACCTTAAAATGTACACGTTGAAATGTTATCTACAGTACATTTTAAGCACTTTGCAAAAAATTTCGTTTGTATGAAAATGATGAAGTGTGCAACTATGCTAAGCTTTATAGTGTTTGAAAAACTGAAGAAAGTTTATTAAAGAAGAACCCTTTTACCATGTCACTCTAAAACTTAAGATAATTTATAATGATTCATTTTCTCTTTTATGCAAGGAGTTACTTAGAAATCATTGTTTGAATTAATTTCAAGTTTTCTTTAGATTAAGACAACGAACGGAAATTATATCCCGGAGTCCCGGAGCGGTTGGTTACCTGTGATGCCTTATAGACACCGACCATGTAACTTGATACTTACCCGCTTCGAGTTTTAGGGTGCCAGTATAAATTACAACACGACAATGGCTATGCGGTTACACTACTCGTTGCTTGGAGACAAATTAATTCGCCAAACTAGTGGATTACTTTGCTCTTCACAATTGGAACCTGCAAACTTCGCTCTACTTGTTGTCGTAAGTGGACACAGGACCTCGTTTACAGCCTTGTGACTCAAGTTGAACCATAAACATATCCCCATTACATTATGTAATTGTGACGGCAATACTTTTTCCTGCTAAAACGGCTCAGCGTCGCTTTAACCTGTCATCGATTCATCTAGTTTATGAACACCCGTTTTCTAAGCAGCTTCTTTGTCTTTTCAGAATAAAATAAATGTATTTATATTATTTTAATAATTGTTCATATAAATAATAAACTACTTTCTCGAATTGTCAACTGAAGCCAACCTTTATTTAGAATATTAGAATAAAAAATATTATTTTTAGGATATACAAGTTGATATTTGTAAGGGGTTCTCCTTTTGTAAATAAATTTGTAAAACGATTTTTCTACTTAGATAATTGTCAAATACATGTTCCTTTTTTTTAATATATAACTATAATTCAAAGAAGGTAACGTTTGACGGCTAAACCTAAAAATTGAAAAGTAATCGAAAACCTTTTATAATTAAATTTTAGAACCACTTTGACAAACTAATTCTAAAATATTATCGATAACTTATGTAAGTATCATCAAAAACACAACATGTAAGAACGGGAACCGGAAGTACCTACAGGGCAATAATGAGTGAGAGAACATTGCCCTTCGGAGACTCGTGGCATGCTTCGGCCTCCTACTTTACGTGTGGGTTTAATTCTGCATTGACGCAGCTACACAAAGTGGCAATGCTTATCACTTAGCGTTTAGGAGCATGCAGGCTCAAATTGTTAGCCCTCTAATTAGGGAGAAAGTCGCGGGGCGCGGGGTAACTAACAGCGCCCATAATACATAAATGAACACTAAGAGGGAGCATTCTTTCCTACTCGTACACATACGTATTTAATTTGTTGTTACTCACGCGTGATTCCTATGGAACAAAAATGTGTACGTCAGTGTTAACAGAACTCAACCAAACAATTCAAATTGATAGAATGACATAAAACACTTTATATATCCTTAGGTAAATACTAACTTTTTTTTTGTATTTAATTAAGTATAATTTATTTCCCTCAATAACATTAACGAAACATTACGACTTAGAATTTTATTTAAAGAAATAAGTGCAAATGTTGAATTAACGAGACTCATATCAAATAAGTTGATCACTGAAGACAAACTATTTTATATCTAAATTGACGAAATGACATTTAACTGCGGGCATACTGTCGCAATGTGTGACATTACACGTTAAAACACGACCGGTGTACCACGTGACAGTAGACTCACAAATATCACATTTAAGACACTCTTCATATTTCTTTCTGACGTACTCACCGTCTGAAATAATCCTGAATGAGGAATGTAGCATAGAATTTGCCAACGGTTATCTCGTTAGGATCGCCCGGTGGAGGCACAACTTGGTCCAACAGTTTCGGAGAGGTTCGCTTCCATATCTTCTTAATAACAGCACGCAACTCTGTGTTACAGTCGTCAATGTTACCTGCAAGGTAACAGATAAAGTGTGAAGCAGTCGAATGGAAGCGATCTCGCCAGGTTAGTTTACAAGTCGAGCATCATGAAACGCGGTGACGCGCTTACCGTCAGTTTTGATTTTGAGCGAGGTCCTAACGACGGCAAACAATGTGGCGTTGAACAGCACCGTGCCGTCCGAGTTGAGCGGCATGTTCATGGAGACGAGCCGCTTGCACGCCACGCGGTGCGGGCACAGCTTACCGAAACCTGGCCGTTGGTGGAAAATTAGTTTAGAGGCGTTCCCGAATTACGCATGAATTTGGTCGCATGTACTGGACTCGCTTACCTAAAGGTGGGCTAATTTTTCTTAACAATGTAACTACATCTAAATGTTTTATTCTTCCTTTTGCATCTGGATCGTATTCACTCCACAACCTGAAAGTTTATCGTTTTAGTACAACATTGCACAATACTTGTGATATAAATGATTCACACGAAGATATTCTGACGTACCTTATAAATTCATCTAAATGGTGTGGTCCCAATATTGACCAATCTCGAGTTAAATAGTCGAAGTTGTCCATAATGACCGCCACAAATAAATTTATAATCTGTAAAACAAAGTAATTTTGTGACTTTAAACAATGTGCTTCTTGAGAGCAGATGTACTCATCTATATGCTTACCAAAAAAGAGCATAAAACGTAGAATGAAATAAAGTACGGGAAGGCGAGCACGGAGCCGCACGTGCCGCTGCTGTCCTCGGGCTCCACGTCGCCCTCCTCGTGATAGTTCTTGTCGCATTTCACTTCCGGCTCAGGAGATACACCCATCATAATGTCCTGCCACGCCTCACCTGGTTCAAATTAAAACGCTTACAACAATGACTCGTTTCAAACAAAACTATATTGTCTAGGTTTTGTAAATGAATAGATACGAATACCCATTCAACTTATATATTTTTGATTGTCGAACTTAGGCATTAATTAACTGTATTCTATGGAATGATCCGGTTTAAAAGTAGTTTGAACGCAATATACGGTACGTGTCGAGAAGATAATGCATTTATATTGGTGTTAAGAGTAGGTGAGTCAACTCACCGGTAGCAGATCGGAACAGAACGAGTAGTGCTTGTGGAAACGTCTGGAAGTGATTGTTCCTGGTAATAGGCGTCTCGTCGTCTATCGCTATCTTACCAAACACCTGGCTCACACAAAGAGAAATTAATTACTTTTGTGTAAATTCAGGATAATTAATTGACAATATTCAGGATTCATCGTACATTATTGCTAATATTCATTTATTCATTTACCTGCATTCCAACGACGGCATAGATGAAGAACAGCATGAGGATAAGCAGCGCGACGTACGGCAGAGCTTGAAAGGACTTGATAAACGTCCACAGCAGGGTGCGAATGCCCTCGCCTCGCGACAGGAGCTTCACGAGCCTCATCACGCGAAAGAGACGGAAGAAGTTTATAGATGGTATTGAGCTTTCCTGTAAGGAGTACCATTCTCTTCGGCTTAATGTTGTTTATACATTATAATACTTCTCATTACACTAGTTGCAAGTCATTCAAGTTATTGTGATTCCGATGATTGAACGCAATTCACTCATAGCAGTTTGCCTTCAGTAGAACAATTTCCGAATGTTAAAATAAATTCTTTAACAGGTTTTGATAGAGCAAGAACCCCATAACACACTAAGTATATCTGTTACTGGTCATGAGGTTCATACTATTTTAAAATTGTTCAATCAAATATTAATATTTAACGTAGTTATGTGTGATGACATAACTCATAATTACATTGAAATGTCTGTGTCGTGTCCAAATCATAGAATTGATCACTTCATAATGTGGTCGAATACTTTTTGAGATGTTTGTCTCTCATTTTGCGGCCGGGTGAATATCACATCTTTGTTCAAACGTCAACGTTTGATGATAAGAGGATCGGAAGACTGTCATTAATGTGGGGTAACAAAAAATAAACAAGAAGTGATGAGTGAACTTAAGGGTGCTTATGAACGATGCTTAATCGTGGGTTGAAAAATAGTGAAGAAGCTTAGAATGGCTCTCATCGTAGCAAATGTTTGCTTTGGTCTTGCACCTACAGCAATACTAATATAAATGGAAGCTTCGATTAAAGCTAAGGTTGCGTCTGTGCATTTAGGTGCTTAGATTGACCAAGTTCTACTTGCACCAGTAGGTATTATAAATATGGATCTACTGTATTAACCTCTACGTTACTGTCCCATCGTGTTTCGTTACCAACATTAAAAGCCAACTATCAGTTTTTTAATTTGCAAAATATGAAATTCAAAGTAAGTAGGTATGATTTCATATTTTTTTTTAGTTTTGTTCATGATTATAACTTATTTCATATATTATATGTGTGTGTGTGCTGAAATGTCATTCATGATATCAAACACAGTTATGTTTGTCTTAAGTGGATGCTTTCCGTTACATACATGTGTGTAAAACAAATGTCATTAATATAATTATATGCTGTGTATATACATAACAACAAAGGGTTCACAGAGAGTGTACAACGAGCGTGGAAGCGTGTCTTACCTTGACGACGTGAGGTCTTGTCATGCCATTTCCCTGAAACCAACGGGTCGCCTTCAGTGATCTGTCAGATGCTCGTACAATTGTGAGAGCTTTAGCATTTGCTGTTATTACAACATCGAGTTTGTCCATGCTCGGGACAGTAACTTAGCTGCCTTATTTTTGTAACTAACTTTCTTACTCTCCTCCCAAGGAGGTAACGTTTCTTTTTAATTCCAACCAAAATCAAATTCAATCTGTTGCTCTATAATGTGTATTACTATGCTGATAGCGTGTTTCAAGAATGCGTCTCACATTTCTAGCTAACCATATTGGTTATTTATAAGCCCAAAACTTCACTAGTGAATACTTTTTAATATTTACCACACAAAAACTTAAACAATTAAACTAAATTCGATATTTCTTAACAATTTTTTCTTGTAATTCAAAAATTAGGCAGCATCATAACAGTGAACTTGTCTCTAGTAAGTGACAATATCTTTAATAAAAATAAGTTAGGGCATCCTCACCTGATTCTTTAGTTCGTTCACTTGTGACACCACTATGTCGATAATGCTGCCCAGAACGATGATGAAATCGAAAGTATTCCAAGCGTCGCCGAAGTAGTTCTGTACATAATAATTATTTGTACTCAAGTCACAATTGACCTTTGAGACCTATGTCGTAAAACATCACTATAAATATAAATAATAAGCCCCGTATACGCAACATTGATTTGCCAATTTGGCCAGGAATGTTGTCTCGTGCATGTCAAAGTAGTGGTGATGATCTTATGATGTAAAAAGAAATAGTTATTGTTGACAAGGTGTTCTCAACTCAAGGCCCAAAATAATTTGCATGTAACAGGAACAAATTGATTTACCTTAAATCTAAAAGCTGCTAGTTTGAATATAAATTCTAAGGCAAAAACGGCGGTGAAAAGCATGTTGAGCATGTCCAACGCTTTGCTGTAGTCATGGGGCTGGTTGTGGTACTTCATGGCCAGCGTGATGGTGTTGATCATGATCAGTACGAAGATCGCATACTCGAACGGCTGTGACGTCACGAACCACCACACTTTGTACTGAATCCTATGTTTTGGGATATATCTGAAATGTTATATTATATTATATTTTATTATATGTTACCTTTAATATGAACAATACAAATACTGTTTGTAAGGTTACCTCCTTATAGGTTTCGCTTTCAATGCAAATTCTATGCAGTTTCTTTGATTCTTATCCAACTCACAGTTTTTATACTCTTGCTCACCCTCATTTTGGAATGTGACTATGACGAAACCGACGAATATATTAACCTAAAATTTAAAATATTTAGTCGTGAAAGCTACGACATACAAAATGATGACTGATGATTCGTGATGAATCTTTGCCTTTGCAACACAAGGAGGCGATACATCGCCTCCTTGTGTTGCAACAGGGAACGCCTGAGTTGTGACTGACTGGTTGCGCCTGACTTGTAAGTCACACAAGATAAGTGCTAAGTGTGTTTGTGACCCGCTTTCTTTACAACAGAGTGTACGTATTCAAGTATAATACAAATTGGAACGAAAATGAATGAGCGTAATAAAAGGTGGTGTATTTGAGACTCGTGTATGACTAAGGGAAGAGACATAATGAGTAGAAGAGAGTACTTTATAAACTAATGGCTCTAATACTGAACAATTTGCTAAATAGCTACTGACATCAAAACTACTAACCATAAAGAAGGCAATTATAATAATATAAATAATATAGTAGGCTGCAACAATTGGACGGAAGTTAGTTATGGGACCACGATCCTCAGCATTCGAATCTATAGACACGTACAATAACCTGAAAGGTATAAATATTTAATTAAGTCAAACATGAGAAGCTGGACATCTAGCTTGGTTAGAGAGGTCAAACAGAACTTAGTCTTCCCTAGAATGTACGAGCCACACCCTCAGACTAGTATTCATTATTATACAAAACATATCCGCATACATAACACTGTCCGCCTGAACCAGAAGGCATAGAAATACGAGCAATGCATCATACACATACACACCCTGGCCATCCCTCGAAGGTAGACACAGTGAACAGAGTGAGCATCCCCTTCATTACGTTATCAAAGTGAAAGTCATTTCGTTTCCATTCTCTGTCCCTCACCAGATATTTGCCGTTCTCAAACACTAAATACGTCCCTCTGAAATATATCAATAGCATCGTTTTAGAAACTCTTCATATGCCTGAACTAAGTGAAGTTTTAACAGGTATCATTTAAATTTGCACGAGATACTTACTGACAGTCATCCTTCGTCATTTTAGAAATATCATTACATCTAAAAAATTTGCCCTGAAACAAAACCTCAGCGATTAAATCCGTGTGACATCAGGAGCGTTGGTTAGTAGCATGCTACGACATATGTACAGCAGCAAGCCAAGTTTAGAGTTAGGTGACGCCACAAATGATATGTGTGATGTTTTAGTGAACCCATTTCTCATGATACCTCTGCAATGAGAAGCATGACGCCAGCAGCCCAGCAGCAGCAGTTATTACAGATGTAATTTTGCTACTTATTTAATTTACTACTGATATCGTTGAGGTGATGAGGTCTAAAAGCTCCGATTATTGATTTGGCTCAACACATGCAATAACAACCTTAGTCAGACATTACCATGTTGACATGCCGATTTTTAAGTTATACTAACTTTTATACTAAAGATTTATCAAACATGCCGCTCAAAAATGATATAAAATAGTTGATGAATAGGGAACACAGTTTTATAAAAACAAATCACCATTATAAAAGCTATACTACGTATGGTTTAATATTGTTTCATAAACTTAATGTCAATATGTAATGAAAACAGTTCCAATTAGAAAATCTTGAAGATGCGACAGCAACAACAGAGTGAATGTCTCACCTTAAACAACTGTACACCGACCACAGCGAACATAAATTGTAACAAATAAGTAACTAGCATTATATTTCCTATAGTCTTAATAGCTACTATCACACACTTCACCACATACTGTTATCGGATCGAGTGTGTTAGTTGATGGGGCATACGTCACCGGGGCCGGGGCCGGGCAAGGGATCCACAGTGTCCAGTGACCACGCAGCGATGGAACATAGGGGACAAGCAAACCAATTTTAATCACATGGGATAACTTACAAGGCCGTGGGGATCACTTGCTTTGGTTAGAAGTATGTCGCGTAAACGCCAAGGTAGGGGGGTGGTTATGTACATATCCTCTAATATAATTAGTCATCTAAAGGGGCGGACTCACACGAACTACACCTTTGGGTTGTATTAATAACGTCATGCCATAAACTATTGAACGACACTGATACAGAGAGTCTAACAAACTAACCGCTGCCACCACTGGTTCAGTTCGACATGCTACAATGTTGTAATTGTGTTTGGCATTAGCTCTTGCGGTTTCGCATCGTACACTGTATGTTCTTCATATACTGTTTTGTCTTACTGTGTAGATAGTAGATATTTAAGCATGTCACAACATGTGCATCATGAATAAAAAGGAATAACAAAGCTCCCCAAAATATGTTTATGGAAGCTCAGCGTTAACATCTTATTAGAGCGTTACTTCATCGAATCTTTTGCAGCATAAAATAACTACTAAATACAAATAACTAAATGTACAGAACGACAACAAAATAATCATGAGAAATGAGTAAGAAAAATAGAAAAAGAAAGACGAAGTGATGAAAAGAAAATCGTATACCCAAAGGTGTATGGAAATCAAATAAGTGTGATGTATTGTTGAATGTGTATTCACTCAGAGCACACAAGAGGTTCATACGTCGGAGTACTGGTGTGGTATTTTAAGTGGTTGCCCCCTACCTTGAACATTTGAACTCCCATCACAGCAAACATGAATTGTAGTAAAGATGTTACCAATAATATGTTGCCGATAGTTTTGATGGCAACTATCACGCATTGTACAACGTGCTATAATCATGGAAAAAATATATCAGGATGTTTAGCCCAGCTCACTCAAAGAAGTTTCAGCTGGTGAAGCTAAACTACTTCTAGCCGCTAGTAAAGTCTAACAATAGAGAATAGGTTTCTGTCTCATATGAGTGATATGGGACAGTGAAAAATATTTCCTTCATTCCTATTTTAACGAATAATGTAAAGGAAACCGCGACGGCAAAACATAAGAACAAAATAAAATTACTCATTTAAATCTTGCAATCACCCAAACAATAAGGCGCAACAGCTTAGGAGTTCTTAAGCGTAAGTTGCGTCTCACCAATACACTTATTTAAGTATAGTTAAAACCAATATAATTTGTCATACGATTGAAAGAATAACATTTTTGTGGTAACAGAACTATAATCGTAAAACAGTATCACTAAACACAAGGTTCATTGAGTGAGTGATTTACTTCCCTTGTTTGGAGGGGAAGGACACCCGAAGTGTCCACGGTCAGCGGTAGTCACTTACCATCAGGTGACCCGTCTGCTCGTCTGCATCCTATATATACCATAAACCAACTGCACCGGCCGTGGTAACAGGCGGATTGAGGCCGGATGTGACGTTAAAGGCCGTTCGTTAAAGGCTAGTCGTAGTATAATATAATAATCACAAAATGTATAAATAAGACAAAACGTTACATTAGAATATGGAATGAATACAGCTACTGACCTTAAGGCCCTTGGCCCTGTTGATGGCCCTTAAAGGTCTCAGCACCCTGAATACTCTCAATATTTTCACCACCGATATACTACCCGACCTGAAAATAATATCCTAATTTCAAACACATACTTATTCTTAAAAGTTTTCACCAACGCAATGTGTTTACAAAAACGTGGAGCCCGATTTTGGAATCGTTTTTAATATAAATAAAATAAAAATAAAAAAGCCTGTATTTCCGTATCCTTAAATTCCATTTCAAATGTTGGTATTTGTTTGTTAGTGTTTAGTTAGTTATTCATGTTTTTCTTATTGTCTAAATGCTAGTAAGGGTTAGTTTTTTCTATTTGGATATGGACCCCTCCTCGGGTGAAGGCCTCCTCCAGTCCTTTCCACTCATCTCTGTCCTTGCTGATAGTTTGCCAGTCTTTTCCTATTAATTCGGTTATATCGTTTTTAATATATGTCAAAAAAAAAACTGAACAACATAATTACTGTTAGTTCCGTCAGTATTACTTTCTATGATTTAATAATTGATGATCCGTCCTACGTTATATCACGCATCAAATTTTATGCAGCTTGAGTGACTTTTATCAAATAATTTTACATCCCATTACACTATTCATTTTAAAAGTACATACTCTAATCATTTTTTCATCAAAATGTTTTTTGAGCCTTAAAATATACTGGATTACGGCACATACGTGTTTAGACTAATGCAAAACAGAAAAATCCTCATAAAATATTGCCTGATTCAAGAATCAAGGGACTTGGGCTCAGGTTCAAGCGCAAAGAAGTTACTTACTTAAAACTCATAGAGATAAGTGAGACGCAGACGACGAGCATGTCGAGGACATTAAACGCTGACCGCAGGAAGGCACCTTGGTGGAGTACCAGTCCATACGTCACCAGCTTCAGGAACAACTCCAATGTAAAGATCCCCGTGAAGAACACGTCGAATTGACTGAGCAACTAAAGAGTATATTAGCATTTTATGTTCAGTTCGGTGAGGAATTCAAACTATACAAAGATATCTATTGCCCGCAATCGTGTAAGAAATGTTTATTTTACTCAAAACTTTAAATGTGTTACGTAATTCTTGAGTGATCTTGAATAATTAAAAGAGGTCAAAACCGCTGTAACAATTTTTTATACATATCACACATCTCACACACGGCCGTCTGATCCCAAACTAGGCAGAGCCTGTACTATGGTAACTAGACTGCTGTTAAACATACTTATATATTCTTTAAATAGATACATATTATAGATAAATTACACCCAGATACAGAACAAATGACCGTGCTCATCACAAAATATTTATCCTGGGTGGGAATCGAACCCACGACCTCCGGTTTAGCAGTCAGGGCTACTAACCACAAGACCAACAGACCCGTCTTGGATAACATACAATTATTGGACAACACCTCAACCGTTTTGTCGCAAAATTTTGGTTTAAACAATAATAATATCATAATAAGCTTGACACCTTGTCAAAACGAAAATTTTGTTTAAAAATTGTACTAAATAACAACTACTATACTTAGGCTACTCAAAGAATATATATATAAAAGTTAATTTAATATAAATTCGTAATAGTCATGAAAAGCTATAATTATTAAAATTTACGAGATGTTTCGAGATATTTGTTTTAATGAAACTGACATTGTTATTTACTTATGAGACAGTCAACTACCCTATTGTGCTTTGTTGATACTTACCCAGTTTCTGAATCCACTTTGTGCAGCATCAAGCGGATCTTCAGCAGCCAACATGGCAGACGAGAGCATAATACACACCAAAATAATATTTCCGAAGGTCGACGAGGAAGACATTTTGTAGCAAAACACACGAAACCTGTTACAGATACATTTTTGTGTAAATTAGTGGACTAGTCCGAGGACGCCAATAGTTTGTGGACATCAAAAGTAAACTTCTAATAAAACATCTATAATTAATTAGTTTACATTTTGAGTAAACAAAAAAAATAATGTTATGTACTTTGTTGGCGAAAAATTGCACAGGATACATCAAGCCATTATAGTGATGCAAGACTGTCAAATTTGTGAACCATCGAAAATACTAATCATGGGACAGTATTTTTTCTAAAACAATATTTATAACATCAATATTATACATACCTATTACAAAGTACTCATGTAAATAAAATCATGCGGTAAAACGAAAATAATAAATATTGATACGATAAAATACAAGAGTTACATATGTAATAAAATATAGCTATGTTTTAGCTAAAAGCGTTTTGTAAGTTTTTTGCGTACATCGTTCACAACATAACATTAAAGCAGTAAATAAATTTAATGCGAATGCTGCTCAAAAATAAATACGGCGGTTTATAATTAAAAAAAAAATCTAAGGGATTTCAGTTCATGCTGTAACAACCTATCATCTAAACAAACAGACCTAACTTCTAATGGGAAACACAGTTATCGGTACCCATTATACTCATTGCTGAAACAACTTTAATCTAATTTTGATTATTCCACACAGTTTATGGGGTTACGATATTCGTGCAACGCAGACGATGAGTGAAAATGGTGTTGGAAACGGTATTGTTATAGAAGGGAGGAGAATGTCTACAAACTAAAAAAAATAGGGACAAAAATTAAGTTTCACAAAACTTAATTGATTGGATTTGGACTATGCTAAACTAAGAATACAAGTATATGATTGCATTGATAACTTAGTAATGTATCAAAGTCAGCAATCTATGGAAAAACAAAGTACACAAAAGGCCGTAGAGCAAGACTGGATAGATAGATAGGATATACAGTTTCCAACGGACACGGGGACAGTCACAGTCGATGTTATGTAATGCCAATCACTGCAAGGACAACACAACGCCAATCGACACAATGAGATATGGGTACCACCAGGCGATGACTCCATCATTCACCTGTTCGTCGGTGAGAATATGAAGAAACTACTAGCGTTCGGTATTGGCGGCGTTTGATTATTCATATTCAGTTCAGACACACGACGCGGTCTGGCGGTAACCAATTTCCCCTCCTCTTCAGATTCGCCAGCATCTTAATGAGGGAAAAATTATTGTTTCTACGCTATCGTCTAGCACTATAGTACAAATTATCCTAATGTTATCAAGTATATCGCTGTTACTATTGACCATGCTGAAATCCCTGTTCCTAGAATATTTCAAATAAATAACAAAGTAGTAATAATTATTGTAATGTTTACAGATTAACGCAAACACAAGTGTAGAAATTAGCTAAAACGTGTAGAAACGTGAGAAATAAAAATATATTTTAATGATTAATGAAGTTGAAAGAAGAAAGATAAAGGCGTAAGGTAGAAAAAGAATTTTGTCCTTGAAAGCATGAATCACATATTTTTAATGGCTTCCGCGTTTGTTACACGGGACCTGTGACGCAGGCCATATTTTATCATAAGCGAGGCGGTGTGGTAATAGTTATTTGTATACTGATGTAATCGTGATTATAGTATGATTATAATAATAATTATATAGTTGTGGAAGCCAACGCAATCAGACAATCAGTGCCACAGGTATGATGATTTTTGTTACTTTAGCTTTCAAAGACAAACCAAAACGCAAAAGTTTTTGAAAAAAAACATCTAAAATAATTTCGCCACGATTCCCTTCCCTAACCTGTTGGTCTTAGTAAATATGAAGAAGGAAGTCGCGTCGGGAATGGGTTTCTTAGTGTCGCAAATATCGACCTCGGAGAGGCGGCGCGGTCTGGCCGACGAGGTCGTGGGCTTACGTTTCAGTCGAGGCTCTTCTTCATATTCTGTATTCACTGTTTCGGTTGGTTAGATTATGTAATTATGTAGAAAACATATGCTTGTGAAATATTGCACGCCTCCATGGCCTTCTTACATATTATATTCCACTTACTTGAATGGCCAATAGTAATTACAGCGTACATGTTTCTATTTAAAAAATATTTTTGTCTTTCTAACTTTGTTTTATACTTTTTAGTGATGGTTATTTCGTGTCATTATGACATGCCGCGATTTGCCACAATACTATATAAACTTATTTAAAGTTATAATATATTCAAAATCATTACTTAATTGCCAAACTAAAACTTCTAGTCTTTTCTCATTATAATATTATTAATAATAATTTAAATTTTAAACAAGAAAAAAATATTGTACCTATGTGATTTCTTTGGTGCCCTTCTATCATTTCATCATCTTCTCTCTCTTGTTCCTCTTCTAATCTTTCAACACTTTCATTTTCTTCATCTACAATATCGTCTATTTCTCCTTCTATATCATCTACCTGCTCTCCTTCAGAGCCCGTTTCTTCATATTCTCTGTCAGAACTGAAACATACAGTAAAATTTACCAAAAAGAGCATTATTTGCTACCAACTGTTTTAAAAAAAAAACAAAGCAAATAGCATTAGATACACAACCAATCAAAAAAAATATTTAGTTTTGTTGCAATTAACAGATACTTAAAGTGTAGGGGACGATAGACGGCAACAACGAGGCATGTCACACACATATCATTAGAATGTCATCAGAGATTTCTTTTAAAAAATAAGTCGTGGTGAGGATCATTATTATGTTTATAGAGATAACAATCATTATTAGAAAAGAAAGTAAAATACAAGTCTCATTTAGAACCTTTTGAAGTTCTCTTTTAAGTTGTAGAAAGCAGGATCGCGACAAATACTCACTTATCGGTCGTGTACGCATCATCGTCATGTATATATTCATCGTCAGTATCTGCGTGCCCACCTTCTGTTGCCACTACGCTTCCACCATCTTTTTCTTCGGCCGCCTGAAATAATATCATTCAAATGTAGGTATTCAATAAATGCTCTTTTTTACTTCTTTCTTCTACTTTCGCAAGTTGAATCGCATACATGTAAGTTAGTAGTTTCTATCTGACGAGAAATCGACATAACTATTTTTTACACGCTATGTAATGTATAGTATGATATATAATATATAGCTGAGCAGTTAAAGCGTGAGAGGGTAATAAATAAAGCATAGAATTGACTGTCACATTTATATTATTAGCCAGCATTCAATATGTCATTCAATGTTGTCAATATGTATCTTAATAACATATCTAACAGTCTTTATTTAGACCTATATATTGACCTGTTTCAGAGCAACCCTCTGTAATAAGCCGGCGCTTGGCAAATAGGTTTTTTGAATAATGGTTGAATTGCTTGGCAGTGTTGGTATAAATTAGTATTGAGAATTAATAGTTATTGTGGCAATGAATGATACATTCAATATTTTCACTTCTTTACTTGTAGAGAAAACGTATTGCAGAGTAATATGATATAGTGCAAATTAATTAAACACATTCTTCCTTCATCAGCCTATCGCAGTCCACTGTTGGACATAGGCCTCTCCCATTGCACGCAACTTAGATCGATTTTGGTAATCTCGCATTCAGCTCCTGCCAGCCATCTGATCGTCACTCCACCTGGCCTGTGGGCGTACTACACTACGTTTACCGAGACGCGGTCTCCACTCAAGAAATCGTTTTCCATATGGCCAGCCCACTGCTGCATGTGAAGGCTTGTTACATGCAACCTTTTCATTTATTTTCCTTTTTGTGTGTAGTTTGTGTAAGTCTTCTTAAAAAGAATAAATAATTGTCATCGCTTACCCCTTCTTCCTTTTCGATGTTAGTCAATGATTCAGCATCTGCTAAGTTGTCTACGGCGATAGCCAAGAAGACGTTCAAGAGGATATCTACACGGCGATGGTGACTTTAGGTTAAGGACTTGATTTGGTAGACTAGTTTATTCTGAGACTTTCGATTAGAAAATTGACAGTCAGTCAGAGCTTGATTATTTGCTTTGTGCAACAAGAATATAAATAGCCCAGTCCTACAGTGAGCTGCAAATGGATATAGTTGAAAAGGATACAGTTGCCGCAAATGAAGAGAATGATGAAGTATATACAAGCTAAAATCCCCACGGTGCCTGCCCCACCATATGCCTTGATACCCTCGTACATAACTGCATTCCAGTCTTCTCCTGTTAGTATCTGAAAAATTATGTGGATAACTCTGGATCGAGTAATATACTCTTTTATTTATTCTTATTCTTTAGTTTAAAGTTAATATTAGTAAAATCCAATAAGATATGCCCCGCAAATAGATTTAGATACAAATGTACTTAGTTCCTGCAGTTACCTGAAAGACGGTGAGTAATGCCTGCCAGAAACAGTCAAAATTGTGGCGATCCTTCTCTTCCACAGGGTCATAGTTGAATTTCCCCCCGAAGACTTGCATGCCAAGCAGGGCAAAGATCATGATGAACAGGAATAGCAACAGCAAAAGCGACGCTATCGACTGGATTGAGTTCAGAAGAGACGCCACCAAGTTGGACAAAGAGCGCCAGTATCTACCAACATATTTATTTCAATTACATTTCACATTGTTTTAGTTTGGTTTTGCCGAAATAACTAACAGTTCACTAGCTTATTTTACTTGTGTTCAGTCCTGTGTTGAGTCTATTACAATCAATTCCACGGGCATATTTCTTGATCGACAACTAAAAAATTCAATAATACAGGTTCAGTTAGGCTTACACCCAGCATAACATAAGTTCAAGAATTATATCGTAGATATTATACTTCCTAAGAATGTACATACTTGGTGACCTTGAAGACCCTGAGTAACCTGACGCAGCGCAACACGGAGATGCCAAGAGGAGGCATCACCTCTGTCTTGGTAAGCACCATTTCACTGATGGAACCGATCACCACGAAGCAGTCGAATCGATTAAACAGCGACACAAAGTAGCCCTGCAAGTGGCAGTGGCGATTAATTTACATGACCTAATCGATTCATTTAACTTCAATGTCTCTTTAACGATTATGGCAAAACGCTAGTCAAAGGAAGAATTCTTCGAATCATACATTACTTTGCAGCATCACAGCAGTACAAATGTATGTTTTATAATGTTTATATATTTCGCATGCATTGTTACCTACTGATATAACAAAAATATTATAAGCGAAACAGAAGTACAGATTGTTCTCATTTTATTCAAATTAATGAGATATAGGTACGTGTTCGCTTTAGTAATAAAATAATATTAATATAGATTTAGCATTTCTAACAGCAAGATAAACTACAAAACTCACTTGTAAGCCTAAGCTATACATCTTGACTAACATCTCCAGAGTGAACAGTGCCACGAAGAACGCATTGCCATACTCCTGAAACAAGTCCAGCCACTCCGGCTGTCTGAAACAAACAATTTAAACCTATCAAAAGTAAGTAAAAACCATGATTAAACTATAAATTATAAAATAAACATTTCTGTCCGCATCGCACAGCTACAATAGGATAACGGATACAGTAAAATGCCACGGGCGGTGCCCCAAACTCAAAAATTGGTTTTCCGTCAAAAAAAACTTAATTATGTCGGATTTTAGAGAGATTCGAAAACCGGTGTTAAGGAATTCCTTCGTTGCCTTTCACCGAGGGTTAGTGACCCCCTATACCATAAAAAACACTCAAAATAGTGTTAACATATAATATTCGGTGGGCTGTATTTCTACCCGTAGGATTGCGTACTCACTGGTAGTGTTCGCTGGCGAGCACCACAGTATTGAGGAAGACCAACACGATGATGAGCCAGTAGAACGTCTGCGACTTCACGGCTTTCCTGCACGCGCGTTTCATGCGACGGTTCACCTGATGAAGGTGAAGAATGCTATGTTTTAATAACCCATTAGTATATTTATGAGTGTAGCGTTAAATATACATCTGTAACTGTAGTAGTGTGAGAGTGTACATATTTATTTTCTTTAATTTGTTCGTACAAAAGACATACAAAATACAAAAGCAAACCATAAATGACCATCCTGATCATTTATGGTTTCGGGTTTGGGTAACTTATCCATCCAATTAATATAAAAAATTAAGTTTTTAATTATCATAATCACCTCTTAAATATCTTCGACGGCATAAAATGACAATTAAATGAGAACTACATCCAGTAGTAAAGTAGCTGCGGTTCTTAATAGTCAGTTGCCAGAATTTAAAAACAATTCGAAAACAATAGTATCGATTTACAAATATTGGATGGACTTGATTTCAAAAACAACTATCATATTCTTAGACTCATTATGAATGTTACATTATTTAAAAACTGAAGTATTTTTTCCAAACATACGATTTTAAAAGCTTTGTTTTAAGTTACGAATAATTAGTGTAACACTTTAATCTATAAACGATAATAGAATCCCGATATTAAATAAGTGGTAGCACTGAAGCAATTATTGCCACAAATTGTTTAAAATCTTACAGCTAGTATTTTTATTCAACAAGCACCTCAGTAGCACACCAGCTTTATCGTGACATTCTATGAGTAGGATGTAGAACCTATTCAGTTACTTACCATCGTACGAAGTTCATAGAAACTGGCTAAGGGACTGTTATAATTATTAAGATTACGAGCGCAAATTCAATGTACAAAAGCAGGAACGGTTTTGGGTTCAGGGACCAAGCTACCGGTATTTAGGGTTCCAACTGCTTTCTGGATAAGGTTCTTAATCCGGCTGCTTCACGTGAGGCTCTGAAGACGTTAGTCGAGGCTCTTAGCAATCAAACTATGTGTTGATATGGCTATCGTCAAAATGTTTGCCAAATCCAAATACTTTATTTGTTTTTCTTAAAAAATAAGATCAGGTAGATTTTTAGAAATATATTTGTAATTCTTTTTTCTGCTTCAATTCCATCTACCTACCCCTCATGAGACACGCGTTCTCACTATGACTTACGTAAGTAACAAAATTATAATCACCTTATCGAAATCTTTTTTCCACACTTTACCGACGGAGACCTTCTGCTGTTCTAAAGGTTCGATGCCCAGGTGGTCTGTTGAGTCGTGCTCATTCGGTATAGGTCCTGAAAATGTTTTGCATAACTTTTATTCTATGTTTCGCCTTCTATGGTGCATTATGTAATTATGTTTACGGATGTTAAGGCAAATATACAATCGGAGCTAGCCGGCCAGTGACATATGTACTTAGCAGTATGTAATAGTTAATTCCCTTCAACAGGATTATATGTATATTATGTACAGAAAGTCACTTCTGCTTTAATTAATTAATTAATACACTGATATGTACTATTGCTTTTAAAGTATAGAACTGATAATAATAAAGCACACAAGAGTTGGATGTTCAGTACCAATACCATAATCTCTTTTTTGATCCACAACGTCGTGTTGATCAGCGAGTGGTTCCAAATACTCCGCCTGCGTGATCCAGTCTAGGTAGCCCTTTAGATCTTCCTCCAATTGCTGCTTTTCGCGCAACTTTTGAAAGTCACCCCTGTTCTTTGCCTTTTCTCTTTCTTTGGAGAACTCTCTAGAACAGGTTTTTAAATATACAGTCGTCAAAACACATGTACATACATACATATACCCACATCGTTATCCCCAAAGGTGTAGACAGAGGGGTGTTAAAGGCCCACATTTGGCCCACTATAATTTTAGTCCCACTTACATGGTAGGAGCAAGCCTATTGCCGTTAATTGGATACATATATTTCTAAATAAACATACATAGTTATGTATTATATTTCTAAATACATACATCATCACAAATCACATCATTTTTTTGATGTGATGTGTGATGATGTGATATATCGCAGTCCCCGACGAACAAAATCGTAATAGGAAAATAACAATTTTACAGGAGCAAATAAAAACTGAATATCTTGAATACTATCAAGACTAAAAAGAAGATTCTTTTATCAAAAATAAGGAAATATTTTTTTGCACTAGATTTTTACTAAATTTTTATTATAAATTTTCTTTATCAGTAAGAAAATTGTGAAAATGTCCATTACTGAAATAAGCTATTGAAAAAATTAACGCAAACTAACTTTACGATAGTGTTCGACTGTAATCACAAATCGGTGTTGCTGTAGTAATCGTTCATTATGATATTGTTCCATGGTAAATATGAATATACTTTATATTCGTAAAATGACATTGCAATCTTATTCGATGATATAACTGACTTTAATATTACGGTAAACATAAATTATATGCTTATTCGATGATCATTTTTAGGTGTTATAACCATTTCGGTACCTATGTATAAATTCTGATTCTGATTCTGTCATTTTTCCCTCGAACAATATGGTAATAGCCGCTTACTCTAAAATGTTGACTTTTGAGATTTGGTAATAGGTTTTTGCGTTATTGATCGTGTAAATTTTTCACTTATGTTATACGTTGAACAAAAACATAAAGATCATTATTGAATGGATAAATCCAAAAGTATTCATCGCCCGATCATAAAAAAAATTCAATGATTGTAATAGGGTGTGTAGATAACGAATATCTAATAAACCCGATTCTATCGTAATAGCGATTACCATAGTGTTCGTCGGGGACTGCGATATAATAGGCCTCTCCTTAAAAAGGTTTTTCTACTATACCACGCTGGCTAGACAGGTTGGTATAGGGTTTGTTTCAAGTCTTCCTTCTCTTTGTAACGCTGTTGTCTTGCGTGGTTTGCATAGATATATATACAAATTATACCCAGACACAAAACCAATGACCGTGCTCATCACACAGTATTTGTTTTGGGTGGGAATCAGATAGACCAGAGGTGGTCTCTGGCTCAGCAGCAATCAGGCACGCTAATCACTGGACCAACTAACCCGTAATGCATTAATAATTATTATTTAATGTCTGGTTTTTAAAAGGTTAGAAAACATTATTGCAACTGCTTAAAAAATATTATAATTAATATAGTATTTAAGTTGTAAAATTTAACACAAAAAACAAATAAAATATCAAACTCACCCGGACAACACACCGAGAATGAGGTTCATGACAAAAAAAGCCCCCAGGATGACCATGGAGACAAAGTAGATCCACTCCCAGCTGTTGCCCATGGCGTCTTGTATCTGGAACGCGTGTGTTGCAAGCGCATGTTTTATTTCTACATCACCGCAGGCTTGCGGAACTCTTAACGTGCACCATTACTAGGTTTTAATTTTTTGATTAGTCAACTTCTATTTAACCTTAAATAATCTTAATATATTTTCTATGTAACTTTGGTTTGTTTCCTTTTTCTTAGTAAAAGGGGTCATTGTCATTCCTTCAATTTTAAGATGATACAGTACTTATTAACAGTTCTACGTCTGATGCAAATCACAATTTGAGTATACTAACGTTATACATAACATCAGTCCAGCCTTCGAGGGTGATGCATTGGAACACAGTGAGCATGGAGAGCCCGAAGTTATCGAAATTGGTGATGCCAAAGTTGGGTCCGATCCACCCCTCGCGGCACTCCATATCGTCGCTGATCATCGAGCAGTTAAACCCGTTGTCCAGGTCGCACGGGTGAGGGGAGTCCATGATCTCGTCTGTCAAAATATCACACCATTACTAATCTCGCTACTGACTACTACTAGTCACTGAATAAACAGCAATTTAGTTTAAAGCTCAAATAAACACGGCAACACAAATAAAATGATTATATAATACCGCAAATACACAGTAAACATTTCTATTGATAATCACAATATGTTTTGTTTTTTTTTATCATAATTTGTGCTATATTTTTTGCAGTATACATGCTAATTATTAAAAGAAAACTTAACTACGTTAAAAATTAATATTTAAACGCGTATTAAGCATAATAAAGCATCAGCTTAAGACGCGGTCTTCTAACGTGACTTACGCTGGATTTAGAAACAGCACACCATAATCAGTTATTGTAGAAAATGCTTCAAACCACTTGTGCCTATTCATCAACATCATCATTAACAGCCTTTCATAGGCCACTGCTGGACATGGGCATCTCCTTAGAAAGGAGGTTTTGGCCTACCATACCACGCTGCCTAGACTGTTGGTATAGGGTTTGTTTCAAGTTTTCCTTTGCAGTGCTTTGGTCCTGCGTAGTTTGCTCCCTTAGTCGGCTATTACGACACCCATGGGATGAATGGGGGTGGTGACCCTCGATATTCTTCTTTGTTTTCAATATTATACCTACAAATATGTTTTAAATTATAATACTAATCGGATTTTTTTCTTTAACCTGTGTACTTATTGAAACAGCTTTTATGCATTTTCCCGGAAAACAGCTCTAAGCCAATGATTGCGTAGATAATGATGACAAAGATGACCAACAACGCGATGTGGAGCAGCGGTACCATCGCCTTCAGGATCGAGTTTAGCACTATCTGGAGACCTGGAACACGTTAGGTTTAAGTGAGTATAAACTATTCTACTATTGACACCTTGTGAAATTAGATGATGTCGAACTTGAGGCATGAACTGACGTAAAACTTTAGAAGTTATATTTGCTGTCTTTCTTTCTGTTTTGTCAGTTCTTTGTCACCCTAAAGGCGGTAACACACCTGAGTCACTTACCGTCATGAGCTTATTTCAGATCAACGCTCGAACGCTCGCTCTCAATACCGCGCTAACGATCGAATTGATGTGAAATAAACTTACCAATATTCAATGTTCATGTGTCGAGTAATTAATAAAAGTTGTTTGGTATAGTAGCATAGGTAATTTTATGGTGAAGGTATTTTAGCTTGGGGTGATTTTATAAGTCAAAATGTGGATGAAGTACAATGAATGTTCCAACTCACTAGGCACGCCGGAAACGAGACGTAGGGGCCGGAGCACCCTGAACGCCCTCAGCGCTTTTACGTCGAACGCGTCCTTGAATATGCTCGACAGTACCGTGCTCACCATTCTGGAATTTACACTTTATAGAGTAACAGCTACAGAGGTAAATGATACATTTATATTATTCTTACATTAAAAGCATTCAAACTGACAGAAAAGTTAGACGATGCCAGAGCTATTTTATGATTTTTATTTTTATGCAATTGATGTAACAAATTTCCAAAGCTGCAGCCATTGTTGTTTCTCGTGCAGTGGATTGAGAGTTATGAACTAGAATAGCATGTTATTATTTCCTATGCAGATACCTTATGACCCTACCCACGTGTTGGTCTCCTTTCAATATTGGCTATACAGTACTTTTAAGAAAAATACCTAATAAAGATTATTGCGAATAAATCCCGATTCACGTATGTAATATGCAAGTATGTATGTTTATAACTGCAAAAGTTTCATAAGAATAATGTGTACATAGTAGTTACCCAATGACGACGATGGTAAAGTCGAGCAGGTTCCACCCGTTGCGTAAATAGGAGCCCGCGTGCATCACGAACCCGTAGGCGATGATCTTCATCACACACTCGCCCGTGAATATCACCAGGAATACGTACTCTATTTTTTCCTGGAAAATATGGGAGTAGTTTATCATCAGCAGCTGCAACTTGAGCACACATCATCCACTCTATCTGTTTCTCAGTCTATGGTATCATGTTGTCGTGTGGACTAACTGACGAGCACTGATTTTATTTTAGTGATTGATATAAAGCTCTGTTATAATATTATCAAACTGACATCTACTACCCTCAAGGGGTAGACAGGGCTGTGTTTAAAAAAAGCCCATAATTTGAAGACTATAATTTCAGTCCCACTCACGTAAAAGTAGGCAAACCTTAAGCCTTTAGGAATAAGATGGGGATCTTGGAAGTATAACGAAAGCAAAGGATTTTAAGGGCTAAAGAGATTTCGCTTAAATGGATGGATCAGGAAATATGAGCAACAGCTGGAGCAGGGTCGCACACCTGTAACTCGAATTAGCTGTTTCTAGAAAGTTCGAAACATTAGATAAAGTCGTTATTACTATTAAGAAGTTCAAGATAACAGTGTGAAGAAGAAGAATATTTTAACCGTTCAAGTAAGTTCGCCGGGAGCGTCATGCTTCTCGAACTTTGTGTTTTATATTTCTCCCCAAAGTATTTTATAGCCATAAGTATACTAGTATGTAAGTACTCACAAGAACCCAGTTGGTGTAGTTGGAGTCGCTGGCGGGGTAGGGCGTGTAGACGGCAAGCGCTATGCAGTTGGCGAAGATTGTCGTTAGGATCATCCACTCGAATGGTCTGCGCCTGAGTTAAGGCTCTGTCTTGTTAAAATTACACCTTGTACATATTTTGGGAGGTGGTAAGGTGGTCAATTTTGCACTTTTATATACCTACATCTAACGATGACAACTTTTACAATAATGTATTGTAGTCCGACATGTAATTTTCAAACTGACCGGGCACTAATTTTTATCCTGATTGTAACACTACAATATTGTTTAGTTTTGCCTACCTCCTCCTTCTTCCTTCTTTTTGAAACAACGCTTAGGAAGATTCTTTATGCCTGAATCCTCGAATGAGTAGATGAGTACGATTTTTATCAAGTGTAACTTTTTTTTAAACTGATAAGAACTGTTACTACGAGTAGCCCTTGACATTGCTTACCTTGACCCGGGAACAACTATTTAAAGGCTAACGCACGCTCTTCTTAGCGTTTATTGTCTTTCATTCATACATAGTTGGTGTTGTTTGGATTACTGCCAATTTTTTAAATCAACGGCAATGGACGGGATTATTGCGATTATTACAATGTTTAGAGGGGTTAATGAAAGCTGTTTCTGGTTAGATAGCACTAATGTTACATAAAGAGATCAAGACCTAAAACTATTTTTATAATTTGTATTTGCAAATTTTCATTAGGGTTTTTTTATTGTAATTAACCTTAAAAGGTAAGTTCGATTGTTAATAATAGTGAGTTAACAACTTTTTTTAAAAATATCGTTTACGTCAAATATTTTCGAGCCATCACGATGTCATTTTCTTGCGAATCACGCACAAAACAGAGACGATTTATTGTTAGTTCCAATTTCAATTATATTTTCTTTCAACATTGTTCGAAATTGAAGCGCCTTTCAAGTTTGGCGTTGTAATACGGCCCGGCCTACACAACATTATTTGGAGGAGGAGAATCAGTGGCCTCTTTGACAGACACGGATTGTATATCAACAATACACCTCTGTATACCAGGGCCTCTTAAGACAGACATCTGTCTAAAATAATATCTTCAAGGGATGGAGATTATTCTTTTGTTAACTTACAGTATGCAGTACACTTAACGCTTCTGAGAGCACTTAGAAGTTTAATAAGCAACTCCTGCGTGACATTGTATTGAGGTTCTTTATATAACTAAAATACTATAAGATAACTGGACAAAAATAGCAAATTTCAGCTAATACATCGACTGGAGCCTCGGATCGATCGTGTATGTATACAGGCTATCCCGAAGTTCAACGATAAGCCGTCACCAGATGGCGGACTTGCTTATGGGACTTACTCGAACGCGAGTAAGTCCCCATAAGCATAACTAGGCGAGTCATGCTGAGTCTGATTTGAACTTGACCGGATTTTTTTTATTTTAGAACTTGAAAAGTTAAAAATATCTAATCTGATCGCCACTTATATATACGTGTTATCCCAAATGCAGCGATAAGCCGTCAGAAGGGTCCACCTTCTAACGGCTTATCGCTGCATTTATGCTTATGACTTATTTATGCTTATGACTTCACTACTCGAGGAAAAAAGAAAAAAAATACTAATTTTTTTTAGTTACAATAAAAAATAAGTTTTTTTCACAGCTTCAAGGGACTGTGCGCTTGAGTACATGGTTTTAATTTCAACGCGATAACTTTAAGCGTTCCCGTAATAAAGGGTCTTGACAGACAGACAGACGGACAACAAAGTGATTCTATAAGGGTTCCGTTATTTCCTTTTGGAGTACGGAACCCTAAAAATACAACTTTTTTCTAGTACATACTTTTGTTTTCTGAGTGCTTGCTTTAAGACACTTCATCTTTGAAGAAAACACACTGAAGATGACAGTAAAGGAACAATAGAATCAAGAGGCAATGCTGACTAGTGATGGAAACGCCATAATCAAATCATCATTAGCTTTGTACACAGACTAATTTACAAATGTGTGAGTATAACTACGGTAACGGGCGCTAGAACGCACATATTGAGAGTGAACTAGTCAAATAATTATAATTACATTATTTTTATATTGTATTTGGCAACGAGTTTATAAAAAGTCAAAATATTCGTTAATGGTGATCCCCACTATTGCTGGCTGTCGGGTGCGAGCCGGCTGGCTCCCCGCCAGCACCTTCCATCGGAGATATCGATTTTAAATATAATATATTGATCGTGCCAATTATTTATACCCTGGTACTGAGGCGGTATATAAACATTTATGCAATACTTTCAACAAACACTGGTTTAATACCAACTACTTCGTAAGCCGATCAATGTTTTATTCATTTCAAAAAGATTTGTTGAGACAATGCGAACTATTTTTTCACCTTCTATAAACGACTCACAGATACATGTTACATTGAAAATCTAGTAATTTTCTTATTTCCTATAGATATACATTTATGTTGCTAAATATTTGACAAAATATATTGTTGCTGTTGTGTGTGCTAATCTATGAATTTATTGTTATAAAAAAAGCTTTGTTAAGACAATACAAACTGTATTCTCACCTGCTATAAACGTGTCACCAACACTCGACATGTTACAAAGTGAATACACAAGTAACACTCGTTGATGAGTACTAGATTTAATTGATCGAACGTAGAAGAGTCATTAAGGTTATCATGTACAGGTCGTCAACATATCTCGTAGAGGTAGACGCTTATTGTGCGTGAACAACCATCAGTTTCTGCCATTGTTGTGTTGTGTTATGAGTTTGACTTTTTTATGGTTTATTTATCTCTGCATAAAAAGCATTTAAAGGTGATATGAATTATACAATATGTGGTTGTCAGGGCCCAGCACCGAGCTGTGTTCACGGCACTAAGAACGTTGTTAGTTATTGTGTATTTGCATTGTTACGTATAATAAGTAGAATTCGCAATATTGCGAGTATTGCATATATAGAAGCAGTTCCGAGTATACAAAAGAATATTTTCAAGGTAAATATTATTGTTATAATTCTGACAATAAGAAGTACAATACAATAAAAACTTGATGTCGTATTTCAGTGGTTTCACCTAGTTCAGGTTAGGTAATGTTTTGCGAAATTCGTTACACAGGTACACTTTTGTAAAGTCAGCTGTATCATGCATCTAATGCTTTACCAATATATGTCCAAACATAAGATCTATAAAATAAGGGACGCATTCAAAGGTCCCAGTTGTAACATACAATATACTTCTGCTTAGTAATATGCATGTAATACGACATAGAATAATTATGAAAAAAGCCTGACTGAGTTCCTTAAGACTTCTCAGCCAGTTGCAGGTGAAAAGCCTCAGTAGAAGCATACAAAAACCAATGAAACGTTCAAGGAAATTGTAACGGCAGTGAATATCCTTGTCTTGATATCTTGAGAACAACTGGGGAACCGTCCCAGTCCCGGTTGCAATAATGAAGTTAGAAGTAAAGTAACACGAACAAAGAATAAAAAGAAACGTTTCAATGAGTTAGTATTATAACTAATCAAGTGAGGATGATAGCCGTAACTCAGGAAAGGACGCAATACAAAAATATGGCTTAGAAACTCGTTCCGGCTGTACAAGGTAAGTACAGTACGTGCGCAGCCGTCCGCGGATATTAAAGAGAAAAGTTTTCGTTTATTAAAAAGCTTCGTTCTTTGTTCTAAATAACTTATTAACTTGATTTTCTTTCACGAGAAAGCAACTTATTTTACACATTCTACGAAGTGTTCAGTCAAGTTATAATATAAATTAATCTAGCCTTCAACAAAGTGGTCGAAATTTGTGAATGTATTCGAATCTCGTGCTGTCGTTAATGTGGTCATAGGTGTATGCATAAATAAATTTAATGATGATAGTTCAGTTTTCTTTGGCCCCTGTTGTTTACAACCACTACTGACACCTGGACACCTGCGCCTCAAGATACACAAGTGCTTTACCGCCCTTAGACGACTTAGGTAACTGGCTACCGTCACACGCTTGGTGAACAACGAATAATTCCTTAACACCTGTTTTCTGTGGGACCTTGGTATCACTCGCACTCGCATTTGTAATATCTTTTATTTTTATTTAACTCTTCATGCACAAATACGAGTTGTATAATAGCGGACTTAATGAACGGGCATATTCTCCCAGTCTACCTTAGGGTGGTGATGAAATGTGTGACTATGTGCACTACACATTGATGTGTAAAGTAAGAGAAAATTATTGAGAAGTTAGATCGAAATAATGAGATAAATATACATACATACATACGTACCAAATACATACACATACATGAATACCTAGTTACAGATATTACAGGAAATATCAGAAACAAACAAAATTGAAATACCAAGTTTGTACAAAGGATACTTCCACTCGACGATGTCGATGCAGACCTTCCGCAGCGGGTTCTTGAGGGTGAGACAGAAGAGTGCGCGCTTTGGCCGTTCCTGTTGCATCTTAAGTCCTCGGCGGGGTGGTTTCCGTGTGACCGGCGCGGGCTGCTGCCAGAGAACATACAAATTCCGATTTAGCAAAACGCTTGTCACGGCGCTAACGTTGCTAATAATATGTTACGTCCTTTTTGTTGAGTAGCTCCAATTACAATTGGCAATTTAAATTTCATCTCTTTAACTGTACAAGTTTTGTTCTCTGTTAAATATATTACTATGCAAATTAGTCCAATAGGATAATGGGTAGCTCTATGAAATGAACTTGGTGTAGGCAAGGCAGTTGGTAGCGGTAGTGTAATGAGAGATTAGACCGGATACCCAGTATGAGTAACAGGTATGTTGTATGTATATGTTGTATGTTGGATGTTAATCCTAGTGGTTCACCCAAAGGGCGACAGCGCACTTGTCTCTGTGTTGTCACTAATTTTCAGGTGACATGTCTCCTTGTTTATCCCTAATACTATAAAACAATACTGTCTATGGTATGGGGGCAACACAAAGTACCTGGTTTTAGTTTCAAACAAGTATGTAAAAGGTATACATTTGTGAGATTAATCATTATATGATGAGCTACATACCTAAGGATGCAATTTGCCTAAACAACTAAATGATTCTAGATTTCTTATAGGTTTATTGCATATTAAATTCTTTTTCATATATCTACAATATAATATATTGGTTAACTTGAGTTGTTCCAAAGCAAGTGAAAATGGAATCCGGGACTACAGTTTGAACTTGTTGGGAGGTTGTTATGTACCTGCACGATTGGTCCAAGTCCATCGTGAGCGACGGGTGTTCCGGCAGGGGCGGCGGGGGGGCTGGTCGGCGTCGTCGCCGGCGCCATCAGCGTGGGTTGCTCGCCCCCGCCCTCGGCGACGCTCATCTTAACCTGAAGCAAGGACACTGCAGTTTAAAAAATACACCATCATTCACAATACGTCGACAAATGTGACTTTCGCCCTATAACACTCCACAATAGGGTCGATTACTAGATTTAAAATAAATTATTTCGACTGGATCATTAAATTTTACATCTTCTAGTACAGTCTCAATTGTATTCTATTATCAGTTTATTGTTATTACTATTTCAATATCTTCAAATCAACGTTAAATATAAATGGTTAGACTGGGTTTGACGTCATACCATACTAGTTCATACAAAAATGTACCGCGTCTATCGCTATGACGTTTAAAATAAAAAGATACTGATTAGACTCGACAGTCATCTACGCCATTGAAAATGTCATTTCTAAATGTATAGATTCAAGTAAAAAGGGTTGAGCCTTCTACTTCCCTCCCAATGGGTAAGTGAGAAACATGCGAGTTGTTCGCTTACGTTTATCTCCTCTGCACGTTGAAGTTTTGTAACGCGAGTTTGTAACCCATGTTCCACAGGAGTGGTCCGGGAACAGACCCCTACGAAACAACGAACGACATGGGCCGACGCCTCAAAGCAACATCTTGGTCCTCGTACATGACGGTTCGCTTCTCTAAGTAGTCTGTCACTAGCCGAGTCAGGTACTCTGGCACCCCATGATAGTGGAGTGCTTCCCTGATGCAGCTGAATGACAGACTGTTGAATGCGTTGGTGATGTTTAACGACAACGCCAACAGCTCACCGCCTCTTCGGTCACGGTTCTAAGGCGCAACACAGCGTCGACCGTTGAACGCCCCGCTCGAAAACCGACTTGGGCGTCCGACAGATCGGGACCCATCTCGCAGAGGTGCCGGACGATGCGGGCAGAGAGAATTCTCTCAAGCAATTTACCTGCCTCGTCCAGCAATGCGATGAGACTATAGGCCGCGACCGAACCGGTAGGGCCCCCCAGCTTCCTCAATAGGACCAGCTTCCCACTCCTTCAGCACTCAGGGAAACGTCCGGAGGCCATGATAGCGCCATGTAGTGAAGGGCTAGGGCCAGCACTCGGACCGGTATCTCATCTGGAACAGGGGCGGTTTTCTTGGAAGGGATGTGTAGAACGGACGGACGGACGGAAAGAACATCATCCAAGTTCTCCTCGTTATCTCCGGACTTCATCAACGGACGTGTGGGTTCCGGCCGTTGCGGGAATAGGCCTTCCACCACTTCTTGCAGGAAGCTGGGCTGGATAGTTTCCGTAGACACAATAGGTAGAGTAACGATCGAGATCCTCCTTTCTTTTCACTTCTTTGGCGAGTAGTCTGGTTACCATAGTACAGGCTCCGCTTAGTTTGGAATCAGACTGCCGTGTGTGAGACGTGTGAGGTTTTAATTTTTAACTATATAACCGAATAAATCTCAAAGCTTCTTGCTCAGAATATGGAAAGTTTTCAGTTCTTGGCGTATCCTGAGATTTCTTGCATATTCAAAACATAAGGAAATATTATTTTGTCACGGAAATATTATTTATTTATGGCATCTTATTTATGGATTGACGTTCGTTTATTTTCGATAAAGTCCAGAAACAAATGAATATTACGACTCAATCTGTTTTATATTCCTCAAATAAAAATAAAACATACGTCTTAATGTGAACAGACGTTCGAACGCGTGCGAGTATTTTTACATAATATATGTAACTACGTAGGAACGCACTTCACCTTCACCAAAATTTCGGTATTTATATATAATACTGTTTTTTAAATTAATACCCTGATAAGGGTGAGTTTTGTCATAGTTATTCGAAATATCGTAGCCAGACCATGCGAAACGTCTTTTTTTGTAAATACTTTTTTATAAGCCGCTCATGTCTTGCTGTGCAAGTAATAAATGTACGTCATAATACTCCATCAGGTTTATGCCTTTTTTAATGACATCGGCAAAAGTCTCAAAACAGAGAGACGCGTTATTGTAGTTAGTTTACTTAGTCGGGACTTGTCTGTCCCATGTCACACTATGACTTTGTTTCAACATCATCATCATCAACAGCCTTTAATAGTCCACTGCTGGACATAGGTCACTCCTTAGTTTTTGGCCTACTATATCACGCTGGCCAGACGGGTTGGTTTAGGATTTGTGTTAAGTTTTTCCTCTCTTTGCTGTGCTGTTGTCCTGCGTGTTTGCTCCCTTATCAATGAAATAAAACCACCAGAATTTATCTTTTCTTTTGTATAAAGCCACTATTTAATTCCCTGTGCAGGAAACATGACGTTCCAAAATCAATAAAACATAATATTATATAACCATCTACTAACAGACCTATAGCAGAGCTGGGATAAATGATATGTAGATATATAATTCGCACAATTTACAACTGACACAAATGAAACGGTAAAATGTAAACCGGGGGGTTGTCTATCAAACGTCAGTTGTCCGTGGGCCGTTCCATCTTCTTTGTCAATATTTCAATTGATTATTTATAATTTGTAAAGTTCAGCGCGCGCAGACAGCTGCTAAATTAACATGTGCAAATGTTCATGTACAAACATTCTCTGTCTTTACAGTCCAACGTTCTATAAATATGTCATAATTATCACCATTCTTCTGCTCTTTTCTTTCCACCCCAAAGAGTACAGGACGCAATATGTGTAACGTTGTAATCTGACTGGTTTGTTCAGACGTTACATAAACCCTTGTGAGATGGAGACCTGATATTGTAAGAAGCAAATGAGAGATGGGACTAAGCAGCAGCGCTAAGAGACCCGAGAAAGGATCGTGTAGCAGTGTGATTTGATTAGCCAGTAGATCAGGGACATCAAGAAAAATATGTAGAATGTAAATTAAACCCCAGGTAAGAGATCGTACCCATATCTTTAGGGGGAAAGGGGGGTCGTCAAAATACCATACTTCTGTTCACAGTGGCGGGAGGAGTCCTTAGGTTTTCGTTACGTAGTCAATATCATATAGGGCAAGCATTACAATAACGATAACAAATAACAGCCAATGTTTTTTAACTTTCTGTTTTTGAAAATATATTTAGAACTATAGTTATAAAATTCTACGTGAAAAGAAGAGGAGAGAATGGGGTCTTTGCATAAACCATGGGTGGGTAAAAATAGGTCCCCAGTATGGGTGTGTTCCCTTCATTGTAATGAGAATTTTTTTGTACACTTTAAACATTAATGTGTAGTATTATTTAAATCAAACTACTATTTGACACAGCGTTTATCGCAATCGGAGCGTAATTTTATATCATCGGCTCAAGTGACACAGAAACAGCATTACCGTTAACAAACTTCATAGAGTAACGAAATTGATAGATTGCCAAAGCATATCAACCAGACAATGGCACAAATACCTAGAGTCGTGAGTACTCGACTCACTCGTGTGTACTTTGGTCACTTTGGATAGTTGTCTGAGGCCCAAGTGCGAGATTATTTCATTTTATTTCGTTCGACGTTGTAAACGCCGTCACCGTGACAATCGAATTGATGTGAAATAAACTTGCACTAGGTTCTCTGTACAAGAGAAATATTTAGTTTGAACCATTCTCATTACGTCCACGCAGATTTTGGTTACGGTGCAGGCAGCAAACGAGCAGACGGGTCACCTGATCATAGCTGAGCGACTCTGCCGATGGACACCTGCAACTAAGGAGGAATACTAAAACACTCCCAGAAACAGGATTAGGCCAGGGGAGGGATAGTAAGCTGGCCTCTTTTTTGTTTAACACCGGCTTTAGTTTTCTATGAGGTTACACTTCGGTCGAACTGGCTCATATGTTCCGAAGCTTGACTCTCCCACAAGGTTAAATCTTACATGATTATCTGGTCCCAAATACTTTTCTTCCAAACTGGGCATGGTGGGCGCTTTATTTTGAAAGATAATTCTAGTAAAGGCCGCATTTAAAGTGTAAGTTCGTATTAAGTCTAACATTTAGTCACTGCATGTCAAACTACAATAGGATCATCCAAGCTTCAGGGTTCTGTGTAATATTTTCGATCCACGTTTAAAGTAAAGCGACGTTACACCAAAACAGACGAGGATCTTAAAAACGTGAATAACGAGAGACAGCTTAGCTCCGTCACTCATCATTGACTTGTGAAGATAATTATGGTGGACAGGTCTGCGGTTATTCCGTGTATGAGTATTTAGAAAAACAGTAAAGTAATGGTGCTCATCGCACAATCATTTGTCCGGTGAAAATCGAATCCACGACCTCTGGCTTAGCAGTCAGAATCACAAACCACTAGACCCACAGGCCAGTTGAAAGGTTCCCAGTTATGTACATAACAACCGTAACATAGATAATATAAAAACGTTGAAATAAAATAAGTAAATATGGTTTTTCTTTGAATAAATTGACGTCTTCCAAAATCAAGTGATTGCATCGAGCTCTCTAAACTATTTCTACTCACACAAGATAAGCACTTACGTACACGTAATAATATTTTGGTTTTGTGACGAGCGCAAGGCCTCATCATCATCATCATCATCACCTCAGCCTATGCTTGTCCACTGCTGGACATAGGCCTCTCCCAATGATTTCCAGCGGGGACGGTTGATTGCGGCCTGCATCCAACGGTTTCTGGCAACCTTTACCAGGTCGTCCGTCCATCGGGTAAGCGTTCGTCCCACACTGCGCTTTCCAGTACGTGGTCTCCATTGGAGAACCTTGCTGCCCCATCGGCCGTGAGTTCGCGCGCTAATCCGTTGGGCTATGTCGAGTAACGCGCAAGGCCTCTAATCGAAACATATTATTGACGATGAAATAATATCCTTGAACTTTCCGACTATACTCGTATAATGTCTAAGCGGTTGCTGAGTTCAGCAGTTAAACACAAGACTGTCGACAATGTTTGAGAGTCAGCTAATACGTGTGCAATGATTCATGGTATTGTTCCTAGAATTCGCTAATGATTCGCTGAGAAGCAATGCTACACAATACTCAATGGATGTATTTTGGGCGCGCGCTTCGTGCTACTCGTACACTTGTTTCAGTGCAACTTTTTAATACTAACTAAAGTTGTTAATGTATAGAACGTATATCTCTCGCAATGAACGTTTGTGATTTCTTTTCGCGTATTTCGATATCTGATAATGAACGTTATTCTATAGTATATAAAGAACTAAAGGGTTTTCTAGTTCTAGTTTAGTTTAGTTGGCAACTTCTAGTGTTAGTATTGAGATTTTAATTTTAAGATCCGTAATAGATTTATTTTTATTAGGATAGTTGACTGTCAAGTCATGTTAATTTCTTCTCCTCATACATATGCATCGGGGCATTAAATGGTCATGCAAAATGTTAAGTTAGTATTATTTTACTACTACCATCAATGGACACCTGTAGCTTAAGAGACACAAGTGCTTTGACGCACTATAAGGTTCCCTCCAGAACTTGGGGGATTCCCCCGGTAACCTCAATCACTCGGTAAAAAGCATAAACATAATTGCTTAACACTGTTTTCTGTGAGACCCTGATATCACTCCGGTCGATCCGGGCCATACGGGCCTTACGTGCCGAAGCATGGCCCCACCCACGTGTTAGGTATACGTGGGAGAGCCACACGAGAGCACACGACATAAAATAATTTGAGTTCGAGTCAGCAGTTCTGTGACCTGTTCATGTTTGTCCCGAACGAAAGCCATAGCTACAAGAATAAAAATGTTAACGTCGCATCATTATTCTACATTCCGTGTAATTCTAGCTATTTAATTTCTAGTTCAACATCAAGATAATTTTCCTCGTTATAACTTTAAAAACGAAACAAACACGAAAAGATGTACTCGTTTAATGTATTTGTAAGCTAGTTTAACTGCCATTTTTAAATCACCGTATTTTACGTGTAAAAATATTGAAATAATAATGTTTTCAATAAAATGTAAGCTAAACATAAAACAGTTGGTACGTGTAGTAAACCCACTTCATATAATTCACGCGTTCGCTGGCTTTACTCAATCAACTAATTAATAAAACACATAAATGTGGTGGACACGCGTGTTTCACCACTCTACCTATATGAATAGGGTGATATTAGACAAGATGGGGTCAACGATGCCATAATACATTTGAGTATTTTTGTAATATTTCAGAAGTAAAATTAATTGCATTTTACGTTCTTGACAAATTGCGTCGACCTTAATATTCTTAAAGTCGTAAATAACTCGTCGCGATGTATCTTGCTGCTAAAATATGTTCATTAACACTCAATTATAACAGTTTCTCAAATGATAACAACGCACTGTATTTAAAAAAAAAAACGAGTATTTTGATTTGTTTACTAGAAAACTACTGTGTTGCTAGAAACTGCTGTGTGTAGACCGGTCGTTTTAAGTGATACAATTGTTTATTTAATGTTAATACATTAATAGCAGGTGAACGTGGAAGAGCCATGCTTCGGCACTATGGGCCAGATCGACCAGTTGAATATCACATCTTTACAGGAAACCGGCTTCAACCAATTCTGTGAGGTTATTGGAGACCCAAACCTCCCCCCCCCCCCTCCCTAATCCTGGGAAAGGCTTAAAAAGATGGCAACGTTGCAGGTCTCCATGGGCGGCGGAAGTCACTTAGCATCAGGTGACTTATTTGTTTGTTTGACCCCCCTCCCCATCACATAAAAAAACCGTACCCTTAGGTCCTGAAGCGAACTATGATGATGTTCTATGAAATAAAGTGAATTTAGATGTTTCTGTCACACAACTTTTAGCAACATCTTGCTTCTATTTCCATCTTATATTCTTCTCAGTCATTCCCAAACAATTTGGTATTGGCCTCCTTTAGATTAGGTACGCAGTTAACCTTTACTTTTAATTCGTCTCTGCAGCTTTTTTGACGTCATCCTTCCATAGTATTTGCGCATTTCTGCATTTCTTAGAGTTGGTAAATGAAGAGTCTGTAATCTGTAATTTTATTTTAGTAACAGACACAGGGCGATATTGGACTAACTTTATTCCGATATCAAACCTTTAATACCTGTTGTTGCAATACACAATAAAATCGAAACTTGTGGTATTTAGTGCTCCATAATTTCAAGGTCACCAGAATCGAAGAAAAATTTGAGCTTCGTATTTCCGCGGATACAGCCACTAATCATCCTTGTCCGTATCCGTACATATCGTTCGTACATATCCGTCGATCGTTAATTATAATATACATTATAATTAACGATCGGGCACATCACTAGGGTCTACCTATACCCAGCAGGTACAAGCTGTGGGAAGTAAAGCATGAAAGTCATTGTTGTAATTATTCATCATATTTGAAGGGATGTCTTATTCCCCTACGCTGCGTTGTTTATAACTTTAATATTACGAATTAAGAGACTCTTACGGTATTCTAAACTCATTAAATTTACTTTTGTGAGAAAATAAGCCATTTCGTTAACTACGGGTTCGGGTATCGTGCACGCTACGGTATCCTTTTTTTATTAATTGCTTTTTGTAATGTTTTGTAGCCTTTCTATTTTTTTTATTTACGGAGTGGAAAATCCTCCTGCTCCTCGGGGACTCAAGAGCCAGGAGTATGTGGTGATTCCACTAAAAACCACCCCGACGGCCGGCCTCAGATGCCCTACTCTCGAAGGACCCGGACTATGTTATTTCAGGTCCTCCCCGAATTGACACCATGCCTAATCAGGCCTATCGCAGGGGAAAACTCAATCGCGACGTGGCGGTCCAATTGCGTCTTAATGCATTCAGAGCGCAATCCTATCCTCTGCCGCAGCACTCTCTGGCAGCTCGCGGTCCCGTCGACGGCTGGTATCGTCGCCGACGTTCCCTACGGGCAGGATCGGCCCTCTCCCGATCCCGTTCACCGGTCTCATTGTGTAGCATTACAACTTCACAGAAAGAGATTACTGCACCCCATCCTTCCTCACCCGCCAGCATGGCAGCAATGATTGCTGGCGGGAACACGTGTCGTGCGATTTGGTCGCCCATTACTTTCAGACGCCCACGCGGAGCAGTCTTCCAGCGTGTGCTGGGCGGAGTCCCAGTCGACTGCGCAGTGTTGGCATTGTGCCGTCTCCTCGCGTCCATTTCGTTTCAGGTACTCATCAAAGCAGCAATGCAAAGTGAGTACCTACGTCAGTCGGTAGGTGACACGACCTGTCTTTCTACCTACCCTAGGCAAAACGGCAGCAACAGCGCGTTGGCGCGCGTTCCGCGGCGGTTCTAACCGCGCGCGCCACTGTACCAGTGCCTGTCGGTGAGCGTTCCGCCGCATTACGAGCTCGTCCTTGTCTTCTGGTCATACACCCTCGCATTTATATTCGCCAGGATATAAAAAGGTGGGACACGTGCCAAGACTGACGCCGCTGTTGAGCTAGCTCGACAGCGGGAGGAGGCCGATAAGCGTTTGGCCCATATCGCTGTTCCGTAGAGGGCCATGGATCATATCACCACACAGTAGACGCGGTGGACTTCCTCCCGCGGACCCCCTAGATTAGGCAAAAGTCTCTGCAGGGAGCCCGTCAGGGCAGGGCAGGGGGCGGTGTTGTGGGCAGCGAGTCACTTCACGGCTCGGTCCAGTTTTTTCTTCGTCACGTCAAAGTCGTCCATCAAACCGGATCCAACGGTGACGTGTTCCGACGGTCCAGTGTGATCCAACGGTCCAAGGTCTGCGTCAGCGGGGCTGAGCCTGCCCAGTACAAGTTTGTAAGGGCGCCCCCATGGGTCCTTGTCCAGTCCCTCTATGATCTCCTTTCAGGACCGAGCCTTGGCTTATAGCCTTTGCGGCAGCGCCGTACTCCCGTCTCCTTTTAGCGATCTCCTCGGCTGTAGCTCACCGTCATCTTCCGGTTCTCTGAAACCGGCGGCTGGCTCTCGAACACACTGTGCGAAGTTGCTCGAGTTCTGGT